TTTTTTCTCCATTTTATTACACTTGTTTATTCTTTAGCAGAAAATAAAGATGATTCAGTCATATTTAAGTAAAAATGATCTAATTTTGTACCTGTTTTATCAGCTATTTTATTCGTGTTTATATCTATTGTTCATTTTCAAGGAAGGATAAACCAATTAATGGGATATTAAATGAGGCCTATAGACGTTTTGGTTGAGAAAATGAAGATTTCTAAGTGAGCACCAGTAAGTTCGGAAGGAAAGACTGACAGATGTCAGTTCACTCTCCTTGGACTTTTTAGAGCAACACCTCAAACGTGTAACTGCTATATGTGGTTGCTGTATGTAGTTGTAGGTGAGAATTCAGTCCAGCAGCTCCGGTTTTCCAGAACCACATAGAGCTGCAGGGCAGCAAATATTTCACTTTAAGGAGGGGCCAAGTTTTTGTATATTGATTCTGCATCTTCTTAGATGTGGTTTAACTTTTTTTTAATTGGAGGATAACTGCTTTACAATGTTGTGTTGTCCTCTGCCACGTATCAGCACTGGCTTAACTTTTAAAATTAGTTTGTCACTTATCTCTGTGTTACTCTCTGATGGTAATTATAATATCTTTCATTCATGTGAGGATTTATTATTTTTGGTACAGTTTTCCACACTATCACATTGATTTAATAGTTCTTAAGTAAAGTGGTATATATTAATATTCAGCTTATAGGATAAGAAAGCTCGAATTTAGATCAAGTGATTTTCCCAAAGTCATGCAGCTGGTCAAGGGTAAGTTTTAACTTCTTTGTTCTCTTTGCCACTGCATAGTGCTTAGAAATGAGGGAAAATTGTTGCTGGAATATTATTAGTAGTGTAATTCATGCATCAGTGGATAATTATACTTAATGTTAAACCTCTGATTCCTTGCTCTCTCTGCTCTGTAATATGCCCTGAAAATGAAGGACGTTTATAGGGAATATAAATGAGGCTGGAATATAAGTGGAAGCAGATCACCATTTGTATAGAAATTAGGGTGTGTTGTGTTTTCCAGATGTATACTAACTCTTATTTTATGTCTGTTATTAATACATACAAACAACTAAATTGTTAAATTATCATATGTATTGATATTTATACTTGTTAGTATTTAAATATATTAAATATCAATACGTATGTGATATTGATATTTAATATATTTAATGTAAATATACTTATTGATATTTAATATATTTAATGTAAATGTATATTTTGCTTTTTAGGGTTTGCATCCATATATGGACACAGAGTCTCAGAAATAGATGAAATGTTTGAAGCCAGGAAAATGATTGGCATTTGTCCACAGCTAGACATACACTTTGACGTCCTGACGGTAGAGGAAAACTTGTCCATTTTGGCGTCTGTCAAAGGAATACCAGGCAACGATGTCATACAGGAAGTATGTTAACTGTGTAGAAACCTTTACTCTTATTCACTGTAAATTAGTAACCTTTTGCAGTAATCTGTGTAATGAAAATATGCTTGAAAATGTAAATATAGAAACCTCTTCTGAGCCAGTGAGCAGAAAGTCATCTTAAAGAATCAGATGGAACTTGGAGCAAAAGTTGCTGCACATAGAAAAGTCCTCATTCCGTTTGGGGGACTCCAGTCTCTCCACGTGGGTGATTCTTTTCTTTTCACTGCCACCCGCTTCCCCTGCCCGACAAACACATACACACAGAACCTTTGCACTGACCCCCTTCACCAGCCAGGGGTCACCGAAGTAAAACAGGCCCTCCCATCAGCAATCTTTTTTATTTCAAAATTATTGGTGGGTATGCGTCAAAATTGGGCTTCTCCTAGTGGCTCAGCAGCAGAGAATCCGCCTGCCAATGCAGGAGACATGGGTTCCATCCCTAGGTTGAGAAGCTCCCCTGGAGGAGGAAATGGCAACCAACTCCAGTATTCTTGCCTGGAGAATCCCATGGACTGTGGCCTGCCAGGCTCCTCTGTCCATGGGATTGCAGAGTCAGACTTGACTTAGTGACTAAACAACAGCAGTATGTCAAAATTAAATTCTATACCAGGAGAACATTTTAAAGGTTGATATTAAATTGGAACACTTAAAAACTAGTGTTGATAATTATGTAAATGATGAGATGTAAAAAACATTTATTCACACTTTTCTTCTTAGGTGCAGAGAGTCTTACTGGATTTAGACATGCAGGCTATCAAAGATAATCAGGCTAAAAAGTTAAGTGGTGGCCAAAAAAGAAAACTGTCTTTAGGAATTGCTGTTCTCGGGAACCCAAAGGTGAGCAGATAATAGTGTTGTTGATGAGATAGTTTTAAATTAATTTGAATAAAAAAGCAAGTTGTAGAAATATATACATAGACACAGTATATGAAACATACATAAAATACTATACATTATTATGAATGTAATTATAATAATAAAGTTTTAAAACTGAAGTCAGAAAGATATACAACCTCTTGAAGACAGTGGTCATCTCTCAAAAGGGGAAGGGGTCAGATGGACTTCCCTTATGTCTGCAGTGTTTTATTTCTCTAAAAAAAGATCTGAAGTAAAATAACATGTGTTAAATTTCAGTGGTGGCTGTAAAAGTACTGTTCTGTTACTCACTGCAGTCTTCTGTCCATTTGTTACAGTTATAGTGATAATCTAATAATAAAGACAGAATCAAAGGAATCGCTGTCTTCCACTGTTCTGTGGACTTGCTTTTGACTGTGCCTGCTCTGTGCTGTTCTCAGTCCTGCCGAAGCTGAGCAGGGCTGGGCCCTGTGTCAGAAGGCTGCCAGGAGCTCGCCTGCAGCCAGGGGCCCCGGGGTCCCCCACCCTGCCCTGTTAACCCTGCTGCTGTGGCCGGGGGGGACCGGGGTCCCAGCTGATGGCAGTCGCTCTTCCTCCCAGCCCCCACCACCATGTTTCTGAAGTGAAAAAGAGTCCTCAACTGCTTTCCTTGAGCTAATATGGAACATAATTCTCTAATGAGCACTTGTTACATCTACAAAATCTTAACTGTTTAGCCAAAAGCAATATACTCAGTGTTGTTTTTCAGTTTATTTTTCAGTGTTTTGTTTCTCAGTTTATTTATCTGATTGTTATTATACTTAGGACTTATATATTACAGACACTAGTCTTTTAAAATTAAAACCAAAGAGAGGAGTCACATGCCAAACTGATCACTTTTTAAATTGATGCTAAGTCAGGTGTGAGTGGAAAACTCAGATCTAGTACATTTTAATACAGTGACTAAATGGGGAGGCATTTTGGGGTCCACATAGATGTTATATATTTTCATTTTCCTGAGGCTTCCCCGTCCTCCCCCACCCCTTTGCATGCAGGTGCTGTTGTTGGACGAGCCAACAGCTGGAATGGATCCGTGTTCTCGTCATATTGTCTGGAATCTTCTGAAATACAGAAAAGCGAACCGGGTGACGGTGTTTAGTACTCACTTCATGGATGAAGCCGACATTCTCGCTGGTGAGATTTTTACTTGATTTTTTTAAAGGATGAGGTCTTGGGCCCAAATGAGAATTAGACATAGAAATGCTAAATTCTGAGGAATAAATAAATTGTGCTTTCTTCACCAAAAAGGTATTATTATACTGCTTTTAAAATCACATGTTTTTGTGTTGGGGGCGAGCCCCTGACCCTCCAGGTTCGGTAATCCGCCACGATAGCTCACAGGCCCCTGCACAGTCCCACTCCTGGCATGAGTGACTGCGGTGCAGCGGACACGGCGCAGGGCAGGGTCGGCAACGAGCAGAGGCTTTGCTGGCCCAGCGTGGGAACCAGACGCACTTCCGGGGGCCCCTCCCACAGAATCGCCCAGGCTGCACTCAGTTGTTCCCACGTGTGGGAAGTTGTAATAATAAAGTGATAATTAATGTGATAATTTACTGTATTAACATTGGTGTCTCATAGGATAATCCAGAAAATGTAAACACTGGTTATTAATGCTGTCACAGATGGTAAAATTGAAACACCAATCTCTTTTTGCAGATAGGAAGGCTGTCATATCACAAGGAATGTTAAAATGTGTTGGTTCTTCACTTTTTCTCAAAAGCAAATGGGGAATTGGCTACCGGCTGAGGTATCGTTCCTTTTTTTTTTAAAATTATTTTTATTGGTTTATTTAAGTTTTGGCTGCAGGATCTTCCCTGCTGTGCGGGCTTTCCCTATTTGCCGCAAGCAGGGGCTACTCTTCACTGCAGTGTGCAGGCTTCTCATTGCTGTGGCCTCTCTTTTGCAGAGCGCAGGCTCTAGGGTGCTCAGGCTTCAAGAGTTGCGGCTCCCAGCTTCAGTGCAGGCGCCGTAGTTGTGACATACATGGCTTAGTTGCTCCCGGGCATGTGGGATCTTCTCGGATCAGGGATCGAACCCGTGTCTCCTGCTTTGGCAGGTGGATTCTTTACCACTGAGCCAGCAGGGAAGCCCTCTGGCACTTACTTTTGCTTGAAGCATTCAGAGTTTACTTTGGGCTGTTCAGAGTCATCCTAAGAAATCATGGTTTTGGGTTTTCTCCAGCATGTGCATAGACAGATCCTGTGCCGCAGAATCTCTTTCTTCTCTGGTCAAACAACACGTCCCTGCGGCCACTTTGTTGCAACAGAACGAGCAGCAGCTTGTGTTCAGCTTGCCTTTCAAGGACGTGGGCAGATTTCCAGGTATTCTCTCCTCCTGGCTTCATGATTGCTGAACTAGTACCCCGCCTCTCTGAATTTACTTGGTGTTTTACTTGGTTTATTTTTCTGTGTAATATTTACACGTTTCCAGGTACCCAGAGGTAATATTCTGTTTCTGCTTTATTTTACTTTTAGAAACCAGAAGTGCTGTAAGCTAGCGTTTCTTTTTTTTTAATAAATGTCATGCAAGAAATTCCTAACTAGTATGTTAACTTACATAAATAATTGTTTGCGTTGTCAGGAAAGAAACTGCGCCCTTTGTTTGTAGGTCCCCTGGGAATAAGAATATAAATACACATACATATATACATACACATATGCACACAAATATGTACACACATACATACACACATGCACACAAGTCTGGACACACATATACACATATGCAAATGTGTGTGCACACAGATGTATACACACATGCCCACACACGCACACAAATGTGTACACACACATACACACATGCACGTGTGTATATACACAAATGTGTGCACATACAGATATACACACAACACACACACATATATGGTTGTGTAAGCCCTCAAGTGCCTTTCCAGTATGGTTTCATAATGAATTACATTATTATACAGTAAACCCTTGAATTATCTTATTTGTAGCCTTAATTTTCTGCATTCTGATGAGGAACTCAAACTCAGTCTTCTTTATCTGTTGAGGGATCTCTTAATAACCATAAGGATATTACTGCTGAAGATAAGTTATACAGAAATCCCCTAGCAATCCTATAATTAGATAGAAACTTTCTATGTTAGCTGAATTAGGTTGAAGAAAAGGAATCACTAATTAACTGAAGTATACATGTCAACTTAGTGTACTCTGCCTATCATTCTGTCTGTAAAACATTCCTTAGTTTAAATTTATGTCATGGTTCACATCTAATAGGTACACATGTCCCTAAACAAGCATTCTGTGGGGTCCTCAGCAATTTCTAGGAATGTTGAAGGGGTTCTGAGACCAGAAAGTTTGGGAACCGTGGTGGCAGCACAGTAAATTCAGTCGTTTTCTACTTAAAGGACGTTTTAGAATCATTCGTGACAGTATGCTTAGCTTTACAAAGTTCTTTCATTTTTTTCCTTTTAGGCTTATTTTCTGCTCTAGACACTCATTCAAACTTAGGTGTTATTTCTTATGGTGTCTCCATGACAACTTTGGAAGATGTATTCTTAAAGCTAGAAGTTGAAGCAGAAATTGACCAAGCAGGTAAAAACAAATAGAACAAAACATTTTAGGCCGTGATCCCGACAGTGACTGTGTAAGCATGTGTGATGTATGTTTGGGGAAGGAAAGGGCAGGAGCAAACAGGTAATTAAGTAGCTCAGATGTTCACAGACAGTGGTAGGTGCTGTGAAGGAAACAGTGGGGCGGTCTGGGGAGGCAGGTAACTTAAACTGTATCTCCGGGGAACATGAGGAGATGATGCTTAAAGTGAGATCCAGAGGCAGGAAAGATAAGGTTTTACTGAAGAGCCTTCCAGGAAGAGGGCATTGCTGCCGTAGCAGTGTTGGCTGAGGATGGGCTGGACGTTCTTGGTGACAGAAGAGCTGCCGGAGAGCCAGGGCGAGCATGGCCATGAGGAGCTCGGAAGTGCAGGCCCGGGAGGGACGTGTGGTCTCCGAAGGTCTGCAGGAGCCTTCCGTTTGTCTCTGTGCTGTGTAACGTGAAGCATGCAGAGAGTTCTCGAGCAAAGGGGTGACATGATCTGATGCATATTTTCAACAAGCGCGTTCCGGCTGTTGGATGACGGATGGATTGTGAAGGAGGTCTGGAAGCAGAAAGAGTGGTCGGGAAGCTGTTACCGCTCATCCTTGTTTGAACTTGGATGGCTGTGAAAACTGGGAAATACGAACAGATTAGGGTTGTGTTAGGGACACTGGTGGTGACCTGCTGCTGGGCTCGTGTCTGGGGTTGGGGAAGGGCAGAGTCAGGAAAGCGTCTAACCTTTGAGCCTGAGAACTGGAAATGGAATCGCTGTTTCCTGACAAAAGGGGAAAGCCACTTCCTGAAAAGAAGGATTCCAGATGTGATTTCTCTTGTGTTGTTTGAGATGCTTGGTAGACATCCCCGTGGAGCTGCCCATGGGCTGTGATGCACATGCTTAGAGCTAAGAGAGGCTGTTAGGGCTGAAGACACACACTCTGCGGTCACTTGTGTATACACGGCCCTGGGGGGGTCAGGTGTGGCCCCGTAGACACAGTAGAGGGGCCGCCTGAGCGTGCGCAGTGAAGGGCAGGAAGCGCTGGCCGGGGAGGCACCGTTATTGTGCTTGCTGTCTTCACGAGAGGAGAGGTGGGAGCCGGGACCGCGTGGTGTTTGAGGAAAGAAGGCGGTCACTTCTTGCTGATCGCTGTGAGAACTGGCTGATAACAGAAGGGGTGATTTGGGTAACATAGAAGACAGAGAAACCTGGAGGTGGGGAAGCCGGTCATGACCTTGAGGTACCGTCAGTGGCGCGGCTGAGATAAGTGTGTCTCAAGGGGAGGCTGAGAGAGGAGGGTTGGTGGGCTGCAGGGCGGGCGTGGGGTGGTCCCCGGAGTGAAGGACACAGGTGTGGTCCTCTCCGTCATGGAGGAAGGTCACTTTATGCAGAGACTGTGGTGTCAGACTGTGATCTTGCTGTTTATTTTATAATTGGAGGACAGTTGCATTACGGTGTTGCTTGTCTCTTGCTGTACGCGAGGTAGATCGGCTGTGAGCGCATGTGTGTGCCCTCCCTGCCTGCACGTCCCACCCTCTCGGTCATCACGGAGCCCTGGGCCGGGCCTTTGTGCTGTGAGCGTCTGCCACTCGCTGCCTGTTTACACATGGCAGCGTGTGCACGTCCACGCTGCTTTCTCATTCGTCCCTCTCTCTCCTTCCCGCACTGTGTCTGTGAGTCCGTTCTTTACACTAGATTGTGATTAGAGAAGGAAAGCGCGCGGGACATCTCTAGATCTCAGGCAGTTGGAGGGGTGCAGGCATGCGTCGTGTGATGGAGTTGAGCAGAGACACAGGTGTGGGGGCAGAGGAGACAGGGACGTCAGGATGCGGTGCGTTGTCGGTGAGCAGGTGTGAGCCTGAGGCTGACAGAGAGCGTGACGGGGAAGGCACTCGTGTGTGTGGTGCTCAACAGCTTGAGGGACATGACACAGCTTCCAGGAAATGTCTGTGTCGTGGGAATGAAGCTGAGGCCTGTGCTCTGCTCAGGTATCAGTGGCTTTTTCCACAGCACCTTAAAGTCCTTCATGCGGAAGCCAGTTTTCATCTCCTTTTATTATTTTTCACCTCTTTTAAGTGGAATCACTCTTTAGAAAGTCATGTATCTTGATTTTTATCCCCATCAAGACGTTTCACCTGGTTTCAGTCTATTGGCATCAACCATATAACGTGTCTCTTAATCATATGTATTCTGGTTTCTTTTACTTAATATGATGCTTGTAAGATCAAGCTATTATAGTTACACAATAGTTTGTTCACTTCCCTAGCTTTACACTGTTCTGTTACAGGTAAACTTCATGGCTTTTTTTCCTTTGACCTGTTGACAGACATTTGGGTTCTGTCCCACGTGTGGCTGCTGGATAGGGCACTGGCTACGGATGTTCTTGTCCGTGTGTTTCCGTGAGCCTCTGCACCTCTCTGTCGGGCTCCTACCAGAGCGGACACGTCCTGGTCATGAGCTGTGCACACGTTCAGTTTCGATCATGTTGCCAAAGCCCGTGACAGCCCCTCTGTCCCGTGTCACTGCCCGCCAGCTGTGTGCTTCTGTGAGATTTACATGCTTCAGGAAGGTTTCCGTCTTCCTGAGGGCGATGACGTAACTTTCCATCCTTCTGTTTCGGCACACAGATTACAGCGTGTTTTCTCAGCAGCCGCAGGAGGAAGAGTTGGATTCAAAATCCTCCGACGAGATGGAGCAGAGCTTGCTTATTCTCTCCGAAAGCAAGGCTGCCCTGGTGAGCACCAACGGCCTCTGGAGGCAGCAGGTGTCCACCGTCGCCAGGCTTCACTTGCTCAACCTGAGACGCGAAAGCAAGTCCCTGAGATCTGTGTAAGCAGTCACTCTCCTGCCTGAGGAGCTGGGGTGGTTGTTTTTTTTTTCAAACTAAAAATTGGTTCCCCTTTTTCCTTTTTTAATTGGAGGAACATTGCTTTCCAGTGTTGTAGTGGCTTCTGCTGTACAACAGCCCGAGGCAGCCCTAAGTGCACACAAGTCCCCTCCCTCCAGGCCGCCCCGTATCAGCCGCAGAAAAGAGCACAGTCACTGCTAGTGAGGTGGGCGAGCCTACCGCCTGTTACGCAGCGCGAAGGAAGTCTGAAAGAGGAAAGCAGGGAACGCTACTAACACATGTCTGTGGAATGCAGAAACATGGGACAGATGAACCTCCTTACAGGGAGGGACTAGAGACACAGACGCAGAGGACAGGCCTGTGGACACACGGGGACGGGGAGCGAGGGGAGAGATTAGCCTCGACATCACGCGCGCCCGTGGGAAACGGAGAGCTGTGAGAAGTGACTTTTTTAAATGAGTACCTTTCAACCATCATGGGAAGGAAGATGATTTTGTAGATTTACATGTTAATATGCCTTCAACCGTATATTTTTTTTTCCTTTCAGGTTGCTTCTACTTTTAATTTTTTTCACAGTTCAGATTTTCATGTTTTTGGTGCATCACTCTTTGAAAAATGCCGTGGTTCCCATCAGACTTGTTCCAGACTTATACTTCCTTAAACCTGGAGATCAACCCGATAAATACAGAACCAGTCTGCTCCTTCAGAACTCCACTGGTGAGAGTGTGTGCAGGCTTGTGAGCCTGTGCTTGTCGGGTCTGGGGTGAGGGGTGGACATAGGTCAGAGGTTTGGGTTTTAGAAATGTACCAAGATAAAGGCATGGTCTGTCTGCACAAACCTACATTAAATAAAACCCCTCACTAATGCTGAGTAATAGATTAATGAAATTCTGGTTTAAGTGTTCAGTTCAGTCGCTCAGTCGTGTCCAACTCTTTGTGACCCCAAGAATCGCAGCACGCCAGGCCTCCCTGTCCGTCACCAACTCCTGGAGTTTACTCAAACTCATGTCCATTAAGTCGGTGATGCCATCCAACCATCTCATCCTCTGTTATCCCCTTCTCCTGCCCTCAATCTTTCCCAGCATCAGGGTGTTTTCAAATGCGTCAGCTCTTTGCATCAATTGGCCAAAGTATTGGAGTTTCAGCTTCAACATCAGTCCTTCCAATGATAAAATATTTTGATTTATGTTGTTTATACTCATAAAATTTCCTTTTTTAAGAGTAGTGGCATTATTCTCAGAGCAGTTTAATTCATCTCAAAAGTTTATAATGAGCATAACAAACTTGAAAACTCTTTACAAAGAGTTACGGCATATAATATTTAATACAGTTACATATCTACAAAGAAGTGTTTAAACAGTTTTTAAGGATTATCTGAAAAATTAGAATAAAGGACAATTGTCATGGAAATCTCTATAATCAAATACATTAAATTTGTAGTGGATATTTTTGGATTTGTTATTGATTATTTTTAATCACGTAAGTATCAAATATGAAAGAAAACTTAAAACCCATGGCTTTGAGCAAAGCTCAGAATAAAATTTTAAAAACCTGATAATAAGACTTTGGTTTTCAAAACGTTAAAACCTAATTCAGAATTTGATGTGAATTAGATGTTTCTACAACATCTCCTATCTGTGTAGATGGTTTATAGTTCCAGGGTTCTTGAGGAGGAAGTTAAAGTGAGCTAACAAAACAAATTTTCAGTAAAACACAGGCCGCTTCATTGCTTATCTTGCTGAAACACACTGGAGAGTTGCATTTCTTGTATCCCTTCTACACTTGCAGATCCTCTGTAGTTTAACACTTCCCAGCACTTCACCTATATTCTAATATCTTTTCATTTTGATTCACTATGAGCTGAAAACTTTTGCCCTGCATTATAATCACAGTTTGGAATGATTACAGATGACAATTTAGGAGTGAGGATTTTAACAGTCATCTGTAATCATTCCAAACTGTGATTATAATGCAGGGCAAAAGTTTTCAGCTCATAGTGAATCAAATCCTCACTCCTAAATTCTAGCTGTTTATGATGTAACCTCTCTTCTTTTGGAGGAAGAAGGTATATAGTGATAGAAAACACACTTGAATAGAAAACGTTATGTTTTTTCATTTCTTTCATTAAAATTCTTATTTTGGTTTTAATATCCATTTCACGTTGCTGAAATGCAGTACCACGTGCAGCCCTATACTCTGACGTTGTGACCATTTTTTGGTATTTGAGGAATCGTGTGTCATCTCAAGTATTTCTGGCTGGATTTCACTCTTACTGATCTCCAAAAATTATAGTATTTTCAAGGTTTTGTCCCATTTGATATTTTAAATATATCTAGAATTACTTTTGTCTTATCAGTCTGTCTATCTGTCTATCCACGTATCTGTCCCTCCACCCAGCCATCTATCTGTTGGTCTATCTCGCTGTCGATCTCACATCTCCCAGGCCTTGCAGTTGGTCCTAAAGGTTCATTTCCTCTAGGAATCATGGCCTCTGAGTCTGTGTATTGAGGGGTACCCTACCTTCCTTGCGAGGCTTTCTGTATCGCAGGTGATGCAGTGCTGTCTTGAGAAGACAGAACCGCTCTAGCACTCAGGGATGGGAGGTGGTTAACACACTGGAGTAGAGACTGTGTCCCTGGAAGCACCCATCTCTCTTGACACTAAAATGCGTGTGGTTAACGCAGTGGATTAGAGAAGAGAACACATCCCTAGAAGCGCCTGTCTCTGTGACACTAAAATGCATGTTGTTAACACACTGGATTAGGAGTAGAGAGTATATCCCTGGAAGTGTCTGTCTCTCTGACACTAGAACACTTATTATTATTTTTTTTCCCATTTATTTTTATTAGTTGGAGGCTAATTACTTTACAACATTGCAGTGGTTTTTGTCATACATTGAAATGAATTAGCCATGGATTTACATGTATTCCCCATCCCGGTCCCCCCTCCCACCTCCCTCTCCACCCGATCCCTCTGGGTCTTCCCAGTGCACCAGGCCCGAGCACTTGTCTCATGCATCCAACCTGGGCTGGTGATCTGTTTCACCCTAGATAATATACATGTTTCGATGCTGTTCTCTTGAAACATCCCACCCTCGCCTTCTCCCACAGAGTCCACAAGTCTGTTCTATACATCTGAGTCTCTTTTTCTGTTTTGCATATAGGGTTATCGTTACCATCTTTCTAAATTCCATATATATGTGTTAGTATACTGTAATGGTCTTTATCTTTCTGGCTTACTTCGCTCTGTATAATGGGCTCCAGTTTCATCCATCTCATTAGAACTGATTCAAATGAATTCTTTTTAATGGCTGAGTAATATTCCATGGTGTATATGTACCACAGCTTCCTCATCCATTCGTCTGCTGATGGGCATCTGGGTTGCTTCCATGTCCTGGCTATTATAAACAGTGCTGCGATGAACATTGGGGTGCACGTGTCTCTTTCAGATCTGGTTTCCTCGGTGTGTATGCCCAGAAGTGGGATTGCTGGGTCATATGGCAGTTCTATTTCCAGCTTTTTAAGAAATCTCCACACTGTTTTCCATAGTGGCTGTACTAATTTGCATTCCCACCAACAGTGTAAGAGGGTTCCCTTTTCTCCACACCCTCTCCAGCATTTATTGCTTGTAGACTTTTGGATAGCAGCCATCCTGACTGGCGTGTAATGGTACCTCATTGTGGTTTTGATTTGCATTTCTCTGATAATGAGTGATGTTGAGCATCTTTTCATGGAACACTTATTATTAACACACTGGATTAGGAGTAGAGACCGTGTCACAGGAAGCGCCCGTCTTCCTGACATTGAAATGCGTGTTGTTAACACACTGGATTCGGAGTAGAGATCGTATCACAGGAACGGCCCTTCTGTCTGAGTCTGAATCACGAGTTGTTAACACACTGAATCAGTAGAGACCATATTCCTGGAAGCTCCTGTCTCTGACACTAAAAGTGTGTGCTGTTAACACACTGGATTAGGAGTGGAGACTGTACCCCTGGAAGCGCCCGTCTCTGACACTAAAACACTTGTTGCTGAGTCTGAGCCACCAGCCGGACCGCTCAGTCACCCATAGAGTTTTCCTTTGTTTGGTTTTGGTTCTTCTCAAATTCACACTCATTTTGCTTGAATCCTGGCCTTTCCGGTGATGGACAGAGAACTGTTCCCACTCCCCAGGTGTTATGGTACAGGCTAGGCTTTGGGTGGGACTCAGCATCTCCCTCTGGCTCCAGGCACCCTGAAGACTGTAGATGGAGACCTGCACCTGAGGTCACTGTCTGAAGGCCGCTGGCGTCCACACAGTCTGTTCAGAACACACAGCAGCCCCCCAGGTGGGCTGTTACCTAACGCTGCCCCTGGCTTCTGTGTCTCTGAGCTGGCAGGTGACCTCGTTACGTAACATCGCCAGGTGGGCTTTTGTTCTCACAGAAGTCTGGTTGGAGCAGTCGTCAGCCGGACTGCTTGTGTGATGGGGCCACTTTCAGTGTGAGTTGCGGCAGCGGCGGCGGCAGCTGAACGTGGCCCAGTTGCTGTGTTGGCCTCTGCTCTGAGGTCTGTGCACATCTGTGTGGGTTTGAATTCAGCAGACAGGCTGCAGAGCCAGTGGTCTTACTCGCATCTTAGCTAGCTGAGGATAAGGAGGTCTTCAGAAAGAGCACTCTTCAACATTATTAAAAGCCCATGTCTGTTTCCCATGTCAGCTAATTGTTTATCATTTGCTGCTTTTCTGATACCAGACTCGGACATCAGTGACCTTCTTGGCTTTCTCACAAATCAGAACATAATGGTGACGATGTTTACTGACAGCGACTACATGTCCGCTGCGCCCCACAGCGCAGCTCTGAACGTGACGCGGGCAGAAAAGGTGAGGGCACTGCAGGTGATTGAAACCTTTCCTCTAACATTAATCACTTGCTGATCGACCTTATGAGTTGGAAATTAAAATTTACTTTTGGAAATAGCTTGCTGTGTTTACTTGTAATATATTTTATGCCGTGATGGAAAACCAATATATAAAGGTATGACGAATGTAATTATATTTATCATATTTTTTTTGTTTAAAATATAAAAATATCTAGATTCCAAACTAGGTTATTTTTATCTTTTATTAAGTATTATTTCTATGATTTGTTGCATCAGTTTTCAATATAGTTAGTGAGAATTAACTTAGTTGGTAAGAAAAGCAATCATATATTCATGTGCTTGGTACATAGCAATCATTATTCATTTACATATATACTATGTATAATAACTCCTTTTTTTAATTGTAGGACTATGTTTTTACTGCTGTTTTCAACAGTACTATGGTTTACTCTTTACCCGTGTTAATGAATATCATTAGTAACTACTATCTTTATCATTCAAACGTCACTGAAAGCATCCAGGTTTGGAATACCCCATTCTTTCAGGTAAGCAAAGTTGGAAGTGTGTGTGTGTGTGTGTGTGTGTGTGTGTAAAATAACTATTAAAAGCCAATGATAATGACAAATGAAACCTACAGACGTTCATCCTGTCTCCTCTTCTTAAAACTTGAGCTGGGGATGTTCACGTCCTACGTCTAGGTTCTGCCATGGGACCAGCTCAGGTCAGAAGATGGCCTTGCTGAGAGTGGTTCTGGGTAGTTTGTTTGGGGCACCAGGTGGTTACCAGGTTGTCTGAAGCATCTGCTGTCTGCACCTGGATCCCTGGGCCTGAGGGAGCCACAGTCCACCCTGCTGGGAATAAGAAGCACCTGGCTCCATAGGTAGCTGAGCTTGGGCATGACTGTTCCTAGTGGCGGAGAGGAGTCTCCAAGATGCCTGCTGGCTTATAGTCCAGGCATCAGTGAAGGCATCAAGATCTTTCTGAGAGTCACGTTCATTGCTGGAACCACTCATGCACAGGTTAACTGCACTTCATGTGCAATGTCATTTTTAAGTAAATGGTGAATGTTAATTAACATGCCATATTATCCTGTGTACCTCTGTAAGAACACAAAACACACAGTCATTTGCCCAGGATCACAGCACCGAGCTGGCACTGTGGCCACTGCGTGTTAACTGCTGTGCACCCGTCTCTTCACAGAGGCGTTGTCCAGGGCCGTGCCCTGATGCGTTTCTTCAGCTCTGCTGGGCTCTTAGAAAGCGTTTAGTAACTTGATATGAAGTGATCCTCCGTTCCATTTCTCACTCTGAGCTTGTCTTTCAGGAAATCACGGACATTGTTTTCAAAATCGAGCTGTACTTCCAAGCAGCTTTACTTGGGGTTATTGTTACCGCAATGCCTCCTTACTTCGCCATGGAAAATGCAGAGAATCACAAGGTAATGACTCAGTTAAAAATCACAGGTGCAGTTGACTGTTAAGAATTCTGAGACAAGAAATTGAACTTTTCTGTGTGAGCACAAGACTTACATGCAGCTATTATTTTGAGAGTAAGTAAATGGAGCATAAATATATTTATTACAGTAAGAGTAACACCTGTCACTTATTATTTGAGTGCTTGTCGTGTGCTTTAAAAGTGTTCCAGGGTGTGGATCTGAATTCTTTCAGCTTTGACTGTTGTGACTTAAGCTGCTCTGGACATTCGCTGCGGGTTTCTGTGTGAACATGAGTTTTCTTTTCTCTGGCGTAAACACCTATGAGTACACTTGCTATGTTGGATGGTGATTGCTTGTTTAGTTTTATAAGACATTGTTGATCTGTTTTTCAGGGTGGATAAAACCCTTTTACACTCCTACCAGCAGTGTATGAGTGACAATAACATGAATTTTCAAGAAATGATTGTATTTGACATGCTTTATGTTTTTATGTGTATACTGGAATTGATATTTTTGTTCTTGTGTTCATTGAACACAAATGTTGTCCACTTATGAAATCATTTCTTCTTCTTAACTAATCTTTATATCCCTCTTTCATCCTCTGTGGCCAGCTCTTTCATATCAGACATTGAATTACTAGGAGTAGATTTTTTTTTTATTATGAGTAGATGTTTTTATAGATGATAAAAATCACCTGAATAAGATTGGTAGGTATTTACATTTATGGAAGATCTTAAAATTTCAAATTATATAATGACAATATTAGGAAAACAATGATTGTTCACCTGTGTGAACAGGTGAAAATGGTATTCCCTTGTGGTAATAATCACAATTAACACTCTTGTTCTACACACGAATGCATAAGAGGTTTTCAAATGCATCCAAGTACAAGTTTCACACTTAAGCTGAAAGCCCTCTGTAAGTCCAATGATACTTAGCCCTTTATTAGTGTTTTCATGAAAGGTCAAGTGTTTAAAAGTAAGCATCCTTTTTTCCTAAACATAATTTTTCTGTTTCACAGAATTTCAAAAACAGTTACATTTTGGCAGCTTACTGTTTGCACAACTATAACCCCATGGCCCTTTTACTTTATTTTAGTTTTGTGTTTCTTAGCAGCACTGCTGTGTTTTGATGCTGAAAAATACTGTTGAAATTGGTATGCCTCAGAAATAACCAGATTAAAGGCCAAATGGAATTTATATTTAGCTGTCAGAGGGCTTTTATTACCTACTGATGGAATGTGACCCTTCTTGTTGATGTAAAATTAGGAGTTCTGCAATCATTTGCTAGAGATTTTTGTTTGTAGTATGTTTAAAATTATAATCAATTTTTCCTTTTTTTTTTTTAGACCAAAGCTTATACTCAGCTTAAACTCTCAGGTCTCTTGCCTTCTGCATATTGGCTCGGACAGGCTGTTGTTGACATCCCCTTATTCTTTGTGGTCCTTACTTTGATGTTAGGCAGTTTGTTTGCATTTCATTATGGATTATATTTTTATGCTGTCAAGTTTCTTTCTGTGGTAAGTTAACATCGGTTGTGCTCATGCTATTTATAAATAAAATGTTATCTTAAAAAGCTAAATGTCTATAAATGTGGCAGTCATCTGATTAAGTAATTATGATGTTCCAGAAAATAGAACCAGTGTTTATTTAATTATTGTATATGGTACCTATAACCAGTGCAGGTCGTATTGCTCTAAGTGGCTTTTAAAAACAATGATTTCACCATTATAAAATAATTCCTTGGAGCTGAGGTGATCCTTCATGTAGAAGACCTACTAGTATGTCATCAGGAATACATAAAGTTTTTTCTTTAAATATCTCCTTTGTCTCTGCGCCTGAGAATAATTTCATGAAGAGGAAGCTCTTTTATTCCGTAATTTAAAATATGGCTTAAAATACTAAGGAAGAGAATGACTTGGATTCATATTTGTATGTCAGTGAATGACTGATCCTAGATAATTTCCTGTGAATTATATTAGGAAAAAGGGAAGACAGAGGTTGGTAGGTTAGATTTGCTGAAAATGAACATGGCAGCTTTAATCAGAGAGCATACTGACCTTGCCTGTTAATTTCTACCTTATAAATTAATAAATGTTTTTCTTACAAATTTATAAAATGCATTAAGTGCTGTGCATTAAAACAGAAGCTAATCGTTTGAGGTAAATAAACTTGTAACTCATTATGCTTGCTTTTTATAATAAAATAATGAAATAGTATTTTACTTGGTATAAAAAAGAACTACAAATAGTATTTAGTTTTAAATGGCCTATTCAAGTTTGTGTGAACAGTTGAAAACATGAGGTTTATTGATTTAGGAGAACTGGATGGGTGGATGGTAACACTAGGTTACCACAATTTCAATTATTTTTGGAGCGATTTGTAGAGCAGTAAAACTTGAAAAATAGTTATTCTTTGATATTTTAATGTGACTGGTACTTTACATCATATGTATGGTTAGCTACTCATTTTTAAATAAAAATACAAATTTCTGTTTTCCAGGTTTTTTGCCTTATTGGTTACGTTCCATCAGTTATTCTGTTTACCTACATTACTTCTTTCACCTTTAAAAAAATTGTAAATACCAAAGAATTTTGGTCATTTATCTATTCTGTGGTAAGTCACATTTTATACTATTTTGTCTCAGCTTTTCCTAGCACATAATTTGAGAGTCACAAACTCTTTTCCTTTTTGTGATGATACTCATAAAGGTTACTGTGTCTTTTCTAAGCACAGAACTTAGATAGCTAGTGGCAGTGTCTGTGTGTGTCTTGTTTGTCTTCAGCCCCATCCATTCCAAGACAGGGTGGTGTTTTGTTGCATTCAGCACCTAGCATGCCCAGGGTCACCCGATGTGAAGAGCCGACTCATGAGAAAAGACGCTGATGCTGGGAAGGATTGAAGGCAAAAGGAGAAGGGGATGACAGAGGGTGAGATGGTTAGGTAGCATCACAGACTCAGTGGCCATGAATCTGAGCAAACTCTGGGAGATAGTGGACGACCGGGGAGCCTGGTGCACTGCAGCCCGTGGGGATCGCAGAGAGTCAACAGTACAGACTTATACAGACAGATTTAGCAATTGAGCAACAGAATGGCCAAGGTGCCAGCCACAGACAGCTGGTACCAGCTAACTGGTGCTTCCTGGCTAAGCATCTCCTATGGTTCCTTGTTTTATTTGGGGAGTAAAGGCTCAGTTAACGCCGGGCACACAGGAAGTTTGTATGAAATTTCTGAACATCTCTCCACCTGTTCTCTCTCTGTTCTCTCCAGACAGCATTGGCTTGCATTGCAGTCACTGAAATAACTTACTTCATGGGAAACACAGCAACAATTATTCTTCATTATATCTTTTGCATTACCATCCCAATCTATCCACTTCTAGGTTGCCTGATTGGTTTCATAAAGGTAGGTCTCTTAGATGTTTGAATATCTTTAGAAAAGCATAAATAAATACTGCCTAAATCTTTGGGATCTTAATTCTTGTACTGAAATAATTTTTAAAAATCAAGTTAGCTGCTACTACTTGATTTAAATGCTACTAATGCAGCAGTTTAAAATGACTAGAATCTTTTCAAGCAGGTATTTTAAGCTGTCAGTTCTCAAAGGAGAAGGATTGTATTCATTATAAGGTCTTTCATGCCTCAGACAATGTACCTAAATTAGAATGATAATCTGACTGCAGTCAGTATTTGTCTGGGGGGTATTTTTCAAAGATTAAACATTGTATTAAAGGGGTGAGAGAGAATTTTTCTTGAGGAAAAATATATAAAAATTTTATTAAGCCTAGTTAATTGAATACAGTTGCTATGTGATTGGAAAAAAATTAAGTGATGAGTTTTTAGTTTAGGATGATTGCTGATTAATTCTGCCCATGTATCTACTTCCCTCCTCTCCCCTTTTTTAGCTTCAGTTTATAGATTTAATTTATATATGCCCTGAGAGGCATATTTTGGGGTGAGGAAGATTTTAATCTAACTACAAAACATGGCTGTTAATATGGATAGCTAGCTAGTTTATGGAGGAGACATGTTTGCTATGAAATACATTTTTTAAAAAATTTTAATCCAACTATTTCTACACATTGTAGCAAAGAAAATGGTGTCCTCCACTCACAAGGCTCTGACACCAAACGTGGGCTTTTCCCGGGCATGCTGCAGTTCTGACACTGCAGTTAGTGCAGACTCGGGGGGTCGAGGGGTCAGTCCTGCAGGTGGCCCCCACTTCAGATTCCAGACACAGGTTGTGGGTGCCCCCGTCACCCCGCTTCTGTCTGACTTGGACCCCTTCTCGGAGGTTCGGTGACTTGCCCCAGCGGCTCCCAGAACTCAGGGGAGCGCTGGATTCCCCGTCCCAGCGTGTCCCAGTGGACCCCAGGCGACACCAGGGACCAAGGGCCGCAGGGCAGGGCTCCTGCCGCCGGGCCGTTCGTGGTGAGCCACCCCCGCCGGGGGTGCTCCCTGCGCCCCGGCTCAGAAGCTGGTGGCTCCTCAGAAGCTGGTGGCTCCGTCCCTTGGCGAGGAGGCGATGAGTCGTCTCCGGGGCGGCGGCCTGGACCGGCAGTGCCAGCTCTGGGGTCTGGCTGGCTCCTCTGGCAGTCGGCCTGCGTCCCCTGAGGGTCCCGTCAGGAGCAGGCTCCAGAGCGGGAGGGGCTGGTTCCCCTCACCGGTCACTCAGAAAACCCCCGGGGCTCTTCTAGAAGCTTTGTGCCAGAGACTGTGGACAGAGGCCAGATCGCATTGTATCACAGTGTTAAGCTGCGTACACATTTCCAAACATTCTTGTCTCAGATCACTTGGAAGAATCTTCAGAGAAATGAGGACACCTACGATCCGTGGGACAGCCTTCTGGTGGCTGTTGTATCGGTAAGAAGTCGCTTGACCATAGTTTGGTCAAGAGGTTTTTAACCTCTGTTTAGTTGTTATCCCGTTGCATAAAAACAAAGGCACATGAGAAGTCAGGTGTGTGAGTTACTGCTACTGAATGTGTGTTTTGTGTATTGCATACATCCATTTTAATATACTGGCTTTTTGACATGTCACTAATTCCATTTAACAATAATTTTGGCTTCCAGAGAAGCAAAAAACAAAGCTTTTTAAAAAAAATTATATAATTTACGAAGCTGACAACAAATGAACTTTGCAGCAGTAGAAAAATATGCAGAGATCATTACTAAAAGTCTGTCTTGGTTTGTATTAACATTTATTTCTACCTCATTGTATGACATGCAAAAAAATTTAAAAAGATGATGAATTTTTTCAGTGATGGTAAGGAACCTGATGTATTGATAGTGATTTTTTGGTTTTGTTGGTACAGGCAGGGGAAAAAATAACCAAAAATGTTCTAGTCATGAGCTGTTTTTCTTTCAGCCTTACCTGCACTGCGTGCTGTGGGTTTTTCTCCTGCGGTCCTGCGAGAAAAAATATGGTGGCAGATCGTTAAGGAAGGATCCCTTTTTCAGGTCAGTTTTTAATTTTCATGTTTTTTTTTAGTACATTGACAGAGTTGTGCAACCACACCATCATGTAATTCCCTGATAGCTCAGTTTGTAAAGAATCTGCCTGCAGTGCAGGAGACTCTGCTTCAATTCCTGGGTCGGGAAGATCCACTGGAGAAGGGATAGGCTACCCACTCCAGTTTTCTTGGGCTTCCCTTGTGGCTCAGCTAGTAAAGAATCTGCCTGCAATGTGAGAGAGACCTGGGTTTGATCCCTGGGTTGGGAAGATCCCCTGGAGAAGGGAAAGGCTACCCACTCCAGTATTCTGGCCTGGAGAATTCCATGGACTGTATAGTCTGTGGGGTCACAAAGAGTCGGACACCACTGAGCGACTTTCACTTCACTTTCTCATTTCCATCACCCACCCCCCCCCAAAAGAAACCTTGTACACATTAGCAGTCACTTCCTTTCCCCCCTCAGCTCTCTATAAGCACTAATCTGCTTCCTGTCTATACATCTGCCAATTTCACAGTCATATAAATGGAATTACACAAGATGTGGCCTTTTCTTGTCTGGCTTGGTATACTTAGCATAATGTCCTGAAAGCTCACCCATGCTGAAGCAGGTGGCAGGACCTCATTACCTGTTTGTTTTTGCCAAGAGATACTACTTTGTAGAGGCTTCCCAGGAGGCTCAGCAATATAGAATGCAGGAGACACAAGAAATGCAGGTTCGATCCCTGGGTCAGGAAGATCCGCTGGAGGAGGAAATGGCAACCCACTCCAGTTTCCTTACCTGGCTCACAGAGCTCTCTCTTAACATCAGAGCTCAGGTTGATGTGTTTTTTTTCCCCCCTGGTCTTTTCTGTACTTAGTGCTTGAATTTCTTACTATTACCTGAAAATCTGTTTATACTTTTAGGACTCTTTCAACAAAGTCCAAACACAAAAAGTTTTCAGAACCACCCAACAATGAGGATGAAGATGAAGATGTCAAAGCTGAAAGGCTAAAGGTCAAAGAGCTGATGAGCTGTCAGTGTTGCGAGGAGGTGAGTTAGTCTTTATTGCTGGGTCATCTGCAATGGTCAGCAATGGTTAGCTCCTCGCGCACAAGAATCAACCTGGAAAATAGTCCTCTTTCATATGAATCAATCTGGAAAAAGTCCTGTCTTTGAAAAACTATTTTTGTCCACCTAATGGCAACCCACTCGGGTACTCTTGCCTGGAAAATCCCATGGACAGAGGATCCTGGTCGGCTACAGTCCATGAGGTCACAAAGAGTCGGACATGACTGAGTGACAACACACACTTTTGAGTAAGCCATTATTTCAGCCATAAATGGGATATTTATTTGTACAGTACCCCTTATTAGGAAATATAATTCTTATAACATGGACATGAGGTGTATACTGCCTTTCATTTAGTGATATTTGATTTATAACTCTCTTTTAAAATCCTATTTTCCTTATTAGAAACCAGCCATTATGGTCAATAATCTGCACAAAGAATATGAAGACAAGAAAGATTTTCTTCCTACAAGAAAAGTAAAGAAAGTGGCAAATAAATATGTCTCCTTCTGTGTGAAAAAAGGCTGGTATTTAATTATTTTTCTCTTAAATAACTTTCCCAGAAGAGTAATTCTCATTTTTCAGTTTGATTTGCATTTGATGACTTTTCTTCTCATTCCTCCAGGAGAGATCTTGGGACTGTTGGGTCCGAATGGCGCAGGCAAAAGCACGATTATTAACATCCTGGTTGGTGACATTGAGCCGACTTCAGGCCAGGTATGGTCTAGGGTGTGGCCTATACTGAATATGGTTTTAGTTTTTTTCCCAGTAGTCATGTATGGCTGTGAGAGTTGGACTATAAAAAATGCTGAGCATCAGAGAATTGATGCTTTTGAATTGGTGCTGGAAAAGACTATTGAGAGTCCCTTGAACAGCAAGGAGATCCAACCAGTCCATCCTAAAGGAAATTAGTCCTGAGTATTCATTGGAACGACTGATGCTGAAGCTGAAGCTCCAATACTTTGGCCACTTGATCGGAAGAGTCGACTCATTGGAAAAGACCCTGATGTTGGGAAAGGTTGAGGGCAGGAGGAGAGGGGACGACAGAGGATGAGATAGATAGCATCACCAACTCAATGGACGTGAATCTGAGCAAGCTGCGGGAGATGCTGAAGGACAGAGGAGCCTGGCGTGCTGCAGTCCATGGAGTCGAAAAGAAACAGACACAACTTGGTAACAAAACTAACAACAGTGACAAATGGGATTTCAGTGCTCAGATTTTATGTTTCTGATGTTCATTTTTTAGGAGAGCTTGATCAGATCATGCTCTCTGTGAGAATGCTGTACATAGTGAGATTTCCGTGCACACATGCAGAGCACACGCGTGTACAGTGTTCCTGTTTTGTGGTGGCTACAAGCCCAGGTGACTCGTCCGCTGACTGAACAGCCACCCCCGTGTTGACCCCAGGAAGTGGAGGAGCTGATCTGAGCCTGCCCTCAGCCAGCCTTTGGTGACGGGCGCATCTCTCAAGCTCTTTGCAGGAACTTTGCACAACTGTCCCACTCCCACTTCCCGCCTCCTTCACACCAGCTGCTCTGGCTCATTGCTTTCCCAGAGAACGCCCAGCACACTTTACTCTCTTTCTGTTGCCTTGGGTGTTGCTTATGTTGACTATTCCTTACTCAATAGAAAACCTGATAATCAAGTTCACTTATTTCCTTGGCCCAAATAGCACCTTTCAGGGTTTCCCTGGTGGCTCAGTGGTAAAGAATCCACCTGTCAATGCAGGAGACACAGGTTTGATCTCTGATCTGGAAAGATCCCACATGCCGCTGAGCACCTAAGCTCACGTGCCACATCTGAGTGTGTGCTCGAGAGCCTGGTAGCCATGTTCCTGAGGCCCGCGTGCCCTCAAGCCGGCACCCCACAGCAAGAGAGGCCCCCGTGGTAGAAGCCTGCTCACCACCACTGGACAAAGGCCACTGAAGCAACACAGACCCAGCACAGCCAGAAATAAACATATAAATGAACACGTACAATTAGCCCCTGATCTTCGTGGTTAAATCTGAGGCTCCCTTCCCCCCCCCCAGCCCTGCATCCCTGGTCCCCGTTTCTGACCAGGTCACTCACCTCCAGCTCAGCAATATAGGTCCTGTCTTCCTCAGAAGGGAGAGTCTGCCCTCACGTTATCCTGACTGGGAAGGAGTTTGAAGTAATCCACCTGCCACTTCCTTTATGACAGTTAAGTGAAGCAAAAGCAGCCCTTTTGTCTTTCTGCAGGTCTTCCTAGGAGACTACTCTTCACACCCAGCTGAAGAAGACGACTCTGGGAGGTGTATGGGCTACTGTCCCCAGATCAACCCCCTCTGGCCGGACATCACCCTGCAGGAGCACCTCCAGATCTACGGAGCCGTCAAAGGGCTGAGAGCCAGTGACGTGCTGGAGGTCACGGATCGGTAAGGCCCTGCCTTCAGCACCCTGTCATCAGGGGGAGTCACGACACACAGCTTTAAAATTTCACAACAGAAATAAAATAAAATTTCACAACAGGCATTTCCCTGGATCATAGCTTTCGTGGAAAAAGATCATTACTTTCCATATATTCTTTTACCAAATTATGACAGCTATGAAAATGAAAACATTTCTATTTCTAAATATAGAATAAATGTACTTATGAATTGCCATGAAACCTATTTTAATTTAAAGTGAACCTTTTAGTCAAGATGTTGATTTATTTGAAATGAGCTTCTACCAACTTAACTGTTCTAGGGAAAAAAAACTGCGTCAGGGATCACAGTCTGTATCATTAACTCTCTCTGGGTATCATGGCTTGCTCATTTCATACCATCTCTTTCGCAGAATAACAAACGCCCTTGATCTAAAGGAACACCTCCAGAAAACCGTCAAGAAACTTCCCGCAGGAATCAAGCGCAAGGTGCGTTTGTCAGACCGTGCGCGCATGTCCAGTCCAGCGCCTGGCCCTGCGCCGGCCGAGGGTCTTACAGCCCCCCGTGTTTGTCGTCCCCCCAGCTGTGCTTCGCCCTGAGCATGCTGGGCAGCCCCCCGGTCACGCTGCTGGACGAGCCGTCCACAGGTATGGATCCCAAAGCCAAACAGCACATGTGGTGAGTATGAGGCAGGGACGCGGGAGACCCTCCGCTGTACCGTCGTTACCGATACATACTCAGCGTCCTGCCCTGCAGGAAAATGCAATTAAGGATTTCTAGAGATCCCCTTAAACTTAATCATATTTTTCATGAAGTGTTAACAATACATTGTGTATTCTGGGACCAAAATGAGAATGCTGTTGTCTGAATAGTGTTTTTAATGGTTTTCTTCTTGTCTAAAGTAACATAAGTGAATATCTCATAACCGTACTGTCTAGAATGTTCATTATGTACACTGAAACTCTCTGCTAAGTAGTTGACAGACTCTTTGAGCCTAGATTGCCATGTCTATGAAGCGTGAGGTTTGGGTCAGACACATGTTAAGATTTCCCTGTGATTCTGTGGCTATTTATGTTCTAACATGAAAAGCCTTCAGTTTGTATAATTGGTTGGTTAACACACTTTCAACCCATAGGGACACTTGAAATCATGAACTTTTCTTTCCACTTGACAAGCTTTCAGAAATAAGGTAAATTAGGATAGAGGAATCATAGTTGGGCAGAGTATAATAAGTATAAGCAGTCGATATTTGGTAAATCTGTTAACCAAAGAGCTGGATGTTTTAAAACTCCGGTGTTTTCATTAACGTTCAGGTGCCATCTTCCCTTCTGTTCGTTTCATTTGTGTTTTGTAGGAGAGCAATTAGAACCGCGTTCAAAAACCGGAAGCGCGCCGCCATCCTGACCACGCACTACATGGAGGAGGCGGAGGCCGTCTGCGACCGCGTGGCCATCCTGGTGTCCGGGCGGCTGAGGTGGGCGTGGCCGGTGGGAGGCGGGGCGTGGGCGGGGCGCCCTCGTTTCAGAGCCGTCTCCGGAGGCGGGTCAGCTCAAGTGTTGAGAGGTGCTTCCTTGTGTGAGTGCTTAATCAGCTCCCCACAGAACTACTTGGAAATGTGTTCCTTTCTCTCCACAACTGGCCAGCCGTTCTGCCTGAGGAGACTCCGCGTTCTCTCTTACCTGCGCAACTTTTACATAAATTGGCCAGGGACTCCAGCCTGAGAATTCACTCAGCCATTCTTTTCTCTATAATGTCCTTTATTTTCGGTTGCGCTGGGTCTGTTGCTGTGAGCAGGCTTCCTCTGGTTGTGACGACGGCGGGTGTGGGCTTCTGCCTGCGGTGGCTTCTCTGGTGGGGGCGCACAGGCTCCAGGCGCGGGGGCTTCAGCAGCTGCGGTCGCGGGCTTAGTTGGACTGAGCTCATGTCCCCGGCGTTCACTGGCAGACTAACCGCTGGGCCTCCACGGAGTCCTACATTATCCTTAAGTGAGAAACCACCTTTGAAACTGTCAGGTTCTTTCATACCTATACATTTCTTCTAAAATTCACTGCAGGTGTATTGGGACAGTCCAGCATCTGAAGAGTAAATTTGGAAAAGGATACTTTTTGGAAATCAAATTAAAGGATTGGATAGAAGACCTGGAAGTAGACCGTCTTCAAAGAGAAATTCAGTGTATTTTCCCAAATGCTAGCCGTCAGGAAAGGTAAAGTTTTTTAAAATGTAGTTGCATTTCTCTATAGAGCAGTGATCATGAAAATCGGTTACTGTATTAAGGATTGGGGGGGAGGAATGCTATCATTATTGGACTAATGTAGTTTGATGAATGACCTTCATGTCTAACTTATTTTTAATGTTAGATCTTTCAGTGTGTGATAGTACTTAAAGTTTTGACAGCTTTTGTTTGGTAGTATGGAAAAGAGTTATTTTATTGTGCATAGAAATATTTTAAGATTTCAAATGATTTTTATCTAAAGTGTCAAAATAAATTATTGGAGTTTTATTTTGAAGTTTTAAAGTGTTGAATTTTGTCTTCAGAACACACAGTAGTAGTCACTTCTGAATTTTCCTTCATCTTTGCTTTCAGTTTTTCTACTATTCTGGCTTATAAAATTCCTAAGGAAGACGTTCAGTCCCTTTCACAATCTTTTTCTAAGCTGGAAGAAGGTGAGTAATAATTTGAAAAACACTGTGAGGTGGCTTTCAAATTATGAGGGAATTTTATGAAAAAGTTTAGAAGTTGGGTCTCAGTTTACTGCAGAAACTACAGTTAGTAAGAAGATGACCTTCTGTTAACTGAATCTAACCTATAGGAAAATACAGCCTGGGATTTTGTCGATCAGCTTTGTTGTTGTGTAAGCCTTTCACCCTCCTGAGTGGACGTCACCCCAGTTTTTCATGTTGCGTCTGAGAAAGTTCAGTTTAATTAGCCCCCACTACTTCAGTCCAGAAGCTGGAGCATTGGGTTTCTTGACTCCTCACTTTGTGTTAGGCCAGAAGGAGCCACGGGAGCAGGACCCCAGGGGCAGCAGGAGAAAGGAGAGGAGAGTTCGCCGTGCAGAAGGGCGGGCCTTCCTGACCCAGCCTGTAGAGACGCTGGTGGGATCTCCGCATTTTAAAAATGAATGTTAGGTGGGCTGCAGACACCTCACCAGGAGAGAGAGGCACCTTCTGGACGGGGCCTGTGTTCAGGTCTAGGTCATTTTATAAAAAAGCATCTGAAAACCATGAAGTAGCCTGTGTTTCCTGGTGCTTGCTTTATGTTTAAAGGGGACATTAGAAGTAATGCGGGAGAATTAAAGGAGTGAATAGAAAACCAGAACTTTGATATTGGATAGATTGCAAAAGGATCTAAAATAAATATAAAGAAGTATATGGACACAGGGCTGATATCTGGAATCTAGTTGCAGAACTCCAGGACAGACTATGCTGGAATTGTGGGGGTGGGAGGTAGAGAGCAGGGATCAACAGAAGCATGAACCAAAAGGAGTCACGCGGCAGAAGCTCGGGGGAGGAGGGCGAGGAGCTGCTGGGAGAAGGGGCAGCGGGACGCGGCCGTGAACCTGCGCGGCCCCTTGAGCCAGCGCCCAGGGCTGTGATGCGGCCCGTGACCCTGCGCGCCCCCGTGAGCCCTTTTCCAGGGCTGTGGGTGGGCGGCCTGTGAGCCCGCGTCCAGGGCTGTGGGGCGGCCGCGGGCAGGGAAGGGGAGGCAGGTAGGGGGTGGCATCACTGACAGCCTGCAGCCGAATGGCCGATCAGAGAGATGAAAAAAGCCCGTTTTAGCCGCTCAGTAGGTATTGCCATTTGATTATTCAAAAATATTACTAAGGGAAATACTATTTTTTATGTTGTCACAGTTAAACATACATTCGCCATTGAAGAGTACAGCTTTTCTCAAGCAACGTTGGAACAGGTATCACACCGTTAACTGTTAAAAGTTCTCCTGTAGAAGAAAGGGTACAGTATCTTAAGTGTTTAGGTTTATTTTGGAGAGGGAAGGAGATTGTGAGCCAGAGACCGGTTCCTGTGGAGTGTTCCTCAACTGTGTGAATTTTAAACAACTTGAGGTTCTCCATCTGCTTATTTCGAATAGCTCATTTTTTTTTTTTTTTAGTTTCAAGAAAATGAGTCATGATGGATGGCATTCATATTAGCACATCTGAAATTACATTGCTTAAATATTTATAAATTACCGTTTACCACAGTGCTACTTTATCAGTCAAAAAACAAATGATCTATTAATCCTCTAAAATGACATTCATCTATATATGGGATTAGTGGGGATCATTCTGTTTAAATAACATTAAGTGTATCTCCTGATACTTGAGTAGTTCGTGTATTTAGGTACAGTCTCATGCCACTGCTGATTTATTTAAAATGTTCCTAGGATAATTGCAGTGCAGAATACTGTACTCATTTATTTCCATGTAGGTTTTTGTGGAGCTCACGAAAGAACAAGAGGAGGAAGACAACAGCTGTGGCACCTTCAACAGCACACTCTGGTGGGAAAGAACACAAGAGGACAGAGTCGTGTTTTGAATTCATGCTGCTTGCCCCGCTTCCCGCGTTTCTTTCTTTTACGATTTAGTTTTGGTGTAACAGTTTACAGCTTGAACAATAATTGAAGAGCCGAGAAAGCACTTGGGGTTTTCCTGACGCCCTGCATTGAAATGCCATCAGTTGTGTCTCGCTTTTCTTCAAATAAAACTTGCGCCCAGCAGCGTGAGCCTGCATGTTGGCATCTGCAGTGTGTTGTGCTGGAGTCTGTAGGTGAGCTTGACTATGTCCTTGTTCACTTTTCAGAAGCAGTGCTTGTGAATTTGTGGTTTGAAGACATAGTGAGAGAATCATTTTGAGCAGCTATCTGTAAGTTTATACCATCTAGTTACATAAGTATGTAATGCCCCAATCTAAATAAGAAGACAAATACATGGAACAGAGACATAAAGCAAAAGCCCGCTTCTCCTTTTTATTTTCTAAAAGAAACTGGAAGTTGGCCTGCTAAAAAGCTAAACACTGGACAGGCTCCTGGCAGAGAGAGGTTTGCAGGCTGTGACATTCACTGGGTAAGATGCATTAGCCAAAATAACTGAAAGGAGACCTTGTTCTATTAGGCGATTGTAGACATAAGTAACTCAGGTACAGTTCTTTTGCTTACGGTAAAATTCAGAGATGTTTCAGTTATTGTGGAGGACTGAGTCTAGAATCTTAGGATGTAACAATCTGACTCTTCGGTGGTTTGGGGCTAGAATGACAAACATCTATAGAGCTGCAAGAGTTAATCTATACCTTCCCTTCCACCCCGATGGAAAATGGAAATCTTTTGTCCTCTTCATTACAAAGAAGATGTTTTATTCTATAAATGAACTTTATTATTTGAATATCTCTCCTTTGTAGAGTTTTAAATATATCACTGTGAATTTAGTTATTCACCTCAGATTCACTTTGGAATATGGTGGAACATAGATAAACTTGTGGTCATTAAATTAAGGAAAAGTAAATTCTACACAATTCTCTTTAGTAAGAAACCAGTTTCCTTCCATGACAGAGTTGGAGATTTTGGTTAAGGTATCCATCCATACAAATACTTCTGTGTAGACCCCGTGTGTGGACTGTAGGGCTGTAACATAAATCATCCTGTGCTGTGAGCTCAGTCGTGTCCGACTCTCTACGCCCCCCTGGACTGTTGCCCGCCAGGCTCCCCGTCCATGGGCTTTTCCAGGTAAGGACACTGGAGTGGGCTGCCGTGCCCTCCCCCAGGGAATCGAACCACCCAGGGGTCAAACCTGGGTCTCTTGTGTCTCCTGGATTGTCAGGAGTGTTCTTTACCACTGTGCCACCTGGGAAGCCGCAGTTCATATTGTATCTCAACCAGATGAATGAAAATGACCAACTTGGGGAAAACAAATATATTAGGGGTGTGATTATACTGTGTGACAGAGAGCCTTAGAGAACAGCAGGCACAACAGAAGGGTTTGGTACCAAGTTTCTCTAAAGATGCAAACCCTCTGATGAGGCTGTTACCTCAGGTGGTGAACCTGAACTTCTTGCTGTGCTGTGCGCTCAGACGGCCGGGAGTCGGGAGTCCTTTCTCGGCCTCCACAAGGGGCACGGCTGGCCTTTCCCTCTGCTGCCCTGCCACATTCCTAAGGATCCAGGCGCCTTGCCTGGTGTCTCAGGCCTGCCTTCTAACTGAACAAGCTGTCTCAGGGCCTCCGGGCATCTGCAACCCGCATCAAAGTTATTTCTCCTCGTAGCATTCAGTTGGCACTAGAGTCTGACCTCTTGTTACCACGGCACTCGCCTCCCTCTACAGACCTTTGGTTCTGCACCTGAGAATCTCACTGTTAGAATCTTTAGTAAAAGCTGCCACTTTTCAGTTGTAGCACTGCATGATGAATACAAGTCCAGAAACATTTGAGGGAAAATCTTTCCCTTTATAGATGAATTAATAAGCAACACACTGTACTTTCTAAGCAAGTCATGGCAAATTGGTTGCTGTAAATTTAAAGAGATATCTTTTAGTGTCTCATATTAACATAACACCTGGGGCTTCTCTTTGGGGATACGATTTTCAGCTGTGCTCACTGATCATAATTCGCATTTATCAGGTTCATTATTGTACTGTTACTGTGCTCTTGTAAGCATTTTTTTTTAAAAACTCATCAGAAGTATGGTTTAACTACTACTTAGGAAAAGCAGGGTGAGCCCAGCAGGAAGAAAAGGACACAGCAAGTCAAATACGGACTTTATCTTTACTGACTGTGCAGTTCAAATGTCTTAAATTATAACCTCAAAGCCTTTTTTTGTATCCATGCAAATAAATATATATATTAGGAAGAAGCTAGGAAAAAAACCATACCCCCTGGCTTATGTTTTCCATCCACAGTCAGATTTTAACAGTCACGGTTGGACTTCACGGAGTGGCGGTGGTCAGTGACCAGCATGGCAAACGTCCGTCTACAGCCTCAGGAAGGAGATGGGAGAAGCAGAGAGATGAGCAGACTTCACACTGTCCCTTCCTGAGCCTCTTTATCTTTTTGGCCAGTTTGTTCTCAGTAAAAGTCTGCAGGTTTCCCTAAAAGACTTCTTTCCTTTAAATTGCCCCAAACTATCTAAAATCAGCATTTTTATCATTTAAATGTTTTTAGAGTAATTCCACCGACATTTTCATGATCAAGTTTCAAGCGGTGGGTCTTTGGATAAAACCGTCACTATTCTCTTTGGCCTTGTAGGATCTTACAGTGTAGTAGGGGGATGTTAGAAACGTGGGTTATTCAGCACTCAGTCACGTCCGACTCTGACCCCATGAGTGCAGCCCAGCAGGCTGCTCTGTCCGTGGGATCTCCCGGGCGAGAACACTGGAGTCGGTTGCCTTTCCTTCTGCAGGGGACCTTCCCGACCCAGGGATGGAGCCTGCATCTCCAGCAGAGGTAGGCCTGTTCTTCACCACTGAGCCCCAGAGAAGCCCCCACATACTTGGGTCCTAACTCTAATACGATGTGATGATGCTTTGCTGGCTGTACAAACGATATTTTATTGGGGCGCAGTTCTACTGAGGGTTAGTGGTGTCCTGCGTTTATTGTTCCATTGGCTACATATTTTCTTCTGATTGTACTAAGAATCTGACAAAACATTATGCTGTATTTTTTTGTAATGCATTAATAGATGTTCATCTTTTAAAAATAGAAATGCTTCTAATGTATTTGTAATATTGCTAAATGATTTTTCATTTTCTTTCCTGAAAGAACATGTTACATAAAATGAAAAAAATCTATTCTCAGGTGAATAATTTTTATATCAGCTATTCTTATAAGGTAAAAGTTTACTTATTTTTTATTCATAATGCATTACATGTAATTAATTCTCAATGCACCCATTTAAGAAAAGTAAATATTATAGTATTAGTAATAAGCTTTAAGAACTGAAAATTTAGCACAACTTTTCATTTTGTACAAAATGGATACTTTGTTACTTAGTATGTATTAAAAATGAAGGAAAAACCTGGCACTGAAATTGTTAGTAATTTATTTTTAGTATCTGTTCAGTGTTTTCAAGAATGTTCAAGAAGGAACATTGATAGTTGTTATTACTCAGTTGCTCTTGTGTCTGACTCACTGCAGCCTCACAGACTGCAGCACGCCAGGCTTCCCTGTCCTTTACTCTCTCCCCGAGCTTGCTCAAACTCATGTCCGTTGATTTGGTGATGCCATCCAACCATCTCATGCTCTGTCACCTGTGTCTCCCGCCCTCAGTCTTTTCCAGCATCAGGGTCTTTTCCAGTGAGTCAGCTCTTCACATCAGATGGCCAAATTATTGGAGCTTCAGTTTTAGCATTAGTCCTTCTAAAGAATATTCAGGGTTGATTTCCTTTAGAATTGACTGGTTTGATTTCCTTGCAGTCCAAGGGATTCTCAAGAGTCTTCTCTAGCACCACAGTTTGAAAAGAATCAATTCTTTGACACTCAGCCTTCTTGGTCTAACTCTCTCATCTGTACATGACTACTAGAAAAACCATAGCTTTGACTATTTGGACCTTTGTTGACAAAGTGATGTCTCTGCTTTTTAATATGCTGTTTAGGTTGGTCATAGCTTTTCTTCCAGGAGCAAGCGTCTTTTAATTTCATGACTGGGGTCACCATCCACAGTGACTTCGGAGTCCAAGAAAATAAAATTGGTCACTGTTGCCCCTTCCCCCCCTTCTATTTGCCATGACGTGATGGGACCAGATGCCATGATCTTTGATTTTTTAATGTTGAGTTTTAAGCCAACTTTTTCACTTTCCTCTTTCACGCTCATCAAGATGCTCTTTAGTTCTTCATTTTCTGCCTTTCAAGCCGTATCATCTGTGTATCTGAAGTTGATGATGGTTCTCCAGCAATCTTGATTCCAGCTTGTGCTTCATCCAGCCCAGCATTGACAGTTACCTGTGTTTTAGTTCACATTCATATTTTAAACTTAAACTAGACATTCTTGTATATCTTTTTTATCTTAAATCTATTTTGTAAAAATATAAAGCAATCATTTTTGCTTACATTTTATTACATTCAACAGATTAAATTATTTCCAAGTATTTAATATTTATCATTTTCCTTAGAATATTTAAATAAATTGATTCAACACTTAGATAAGGTTTTAAATTTAATGAACCAATGTTTCTCAAGGACCTAAGCAGCTCTTGCAAATCTAATTAATCAAATGGTTAATTTTATGCAGCATAAAAGCAGACAGCATACACAAAACTACATGATTAGAAGTCTTGCTGCCACTCTTGAATAAATGCAAAGACTTCCAAAGGGTATCAATACAGTAATTATTTCCCTCATGTCTGTGCATGGACCTCACCAGGGTCATGGCATTTGCTAATTAAAGGGCCATCTAAGGTCACTGAAGTCCACCGTTGGATAACCTGAGACAGACGGATGATGCAGGTGAGACGGCTGGGTAAGGATTGGAGCTTCTCGAGGGCGAGAAGCGGAAAACCCGTCTCCCCTCAGAGTGGGCTGGCGCCCGCCCCGCTTTGACCTTCGGGGCTTTGGCTGTTGTTCAGGGGCTCTGTCGTGTCCGACTCTCTGGCCCCGTGGGCAGTAGCCGCCAGGCTCCTCTGTCCATGAACTTCCCAGGCAAGAACACTGGAGGGGATCTTCCTGACCCAGGGCTGGAACCCGGGTATCCTGCATTGGCAGGTGGGTTCTTTACCGCTGAGCCACCAGGAAAGCCTGAAGCGCAGCTTCCAGCCCCTCCAGTTTCCAGCCACTTGGGCGCCGGGTGAGAGCCGCCGCGCTCGCGGGCAGCGCCTGGCAGAGCCGGCGAGACGGGAGCGCTTTCGGCCACCAGGTGGCCCCAGCGCGCCGTGCCGCGGGCCGCGGGCGGAGAGTACCCGCGACGCGGGACCCCCGGGTTCCATCCCCGCGAGGAAGATGCCCTCCAGGGTTCTCGCTGGAGAGCCCATGGACCGAGGGGCCCGGCAAGCTCCAGCCCGCGGGGTCACAGAGCTGGACACGACTGAAGGGACTTAGCACGCACGCGTGCAGGGACACGACTGAGCCACTACACTAACGCCGGGGCCCGGGAAGAGCCCAAGCGGAGCCAGCAAGTCAGCCTGGAAGCTGGAGGCTGCGTCCCGCAGAGCGAACGGGTCATCCTTGGGCTAGTTCACGTGGGGAGAGGCGACAGCAGGGCTCAAAGCGTCCGAACAGAGGGCAAGAAACGCCAGGGAGCCGGAAGGCGTCTCCGGCATTCGTCAGAGGGAAGGGGCGCACTCCCATGCGGCCCAGCTCGAGGCCGGGCTTCAGTGACATCGTCAGCGTTGATTCCCCTCCCTAGCTTTTCTCTAAGGAGCCGCAAAGTCAAGCCTTCCCGGTCTCTGGGCAAGGCAACCCGTGCTGTGTTAGACACCCCAGTCGTGTGTGGCCCACTCTGCGACCCCATGGACTGTAGCCCTCCAGGCTCCTCTGTCCATGGGATTTCCCGGGCAAGACTACTGGAGCGGGTTGCCATTTCCTTCTCCAGGGGATCTTCCCGACCAGGGATGGAACTGGAGTCCGCATTGCTGGCAGATTCTTTATGTCTGAATCACCAGGGAAGCCCTGTGGGGAAGCCTCTATCATTGTCTCTTAAACAAAAGTGAACTTTATTGGTAACTGGAATAACTGGGAGTCAGATGGGCAGAGACCCAGAGACCATAAAACACCTCCAGGAAGTGAGTTCTGGGGGAGTCATTGGTAATAAAGATAGGATCATGGTCTGATTTTTACTGCTTCAAATAGTAAAACTAGTGATACATACTTGAGAAAACTCAGGTTTGTTTTTTTTTTCCCGTATAAACGAGGACTTAGGGATGTCCATGATAATTTTCAGATGGGAGAAAGCATCAAGATGAGTCAGAAGTGTCACTTTATTGGAATATTTTGATTGTTTAAAAATTTTGTTTATTTGGCCATGCCAGGCCTTAGCTGCAGCTCTAGGGATCTGGGATCTCCAGCTGCAGCAGGAGGCTGCTAGTTCCCAGATTAGGGATCCAACCTGGGCCTCCAGCATTGGGAGTGTAGAGTCTTAGCTGATGGACCACCAAGGATCCTGTGATCTACTTTTGCATAACGAATCACCCCAAAATGAGGCAACTTGAAGCAATAAAGATTAACCAGCTCAGTTTCTATAGGTCAGAAATTTCAGCATAGCTTAGCTGTATGCTTTTAAAATTAATGACCAAACAGGAAAAAAAAAGGCAATTTGAGGTAAGGGGAGACTGAGGAAGGGAATATCAAGGATAAAAGATGTAATTAATACAGAACCATGAAAGGAAACAGGAGATTACAAAAAATAGAAGAGTCAGAGGATGAGACCTATTATCATAAACATTTATTCCAGGAATTCAACTTCAGAGAATTGTAAGGATTATTAGAAAACAGAAATCATAAAACATTAGAAAACAGAAATCGTAAAACTGAGTCTATGAACATATTGTTTAGAAAATTCAAAAAAATCTCCAATGATAATAAATAAAAGAGCTCAACAAAATTCAAAATGAAAGTTAAAGTTAAGTCGCTCACTCTTGTCCGACTCTTTGCAACCCCGTGGACTGGAGCCCACCAGGCTCCTCCATCCATGGGATTCTCCAGGCAAGAATACTGGAGTGGATTTCCACTTCCTTCTCCAGGGGATCTTCCCCACCCAGGGATCGAATCCAGGTCTCCCTCATTGCAGGCAGAGGCTTTAACCAAAATTCAAAGTAACATGCAAAATTAATCCTCCTCTAGACGGGCAGCAATTAATTTGTTTAGTCACTTGGTCCTGGCCAACTCTTTGTGACCCTATGGGCTGCAGCCTGCCAGGCTCCTCTGTCCCTGGGATTCTCCAGGCAAGAATACTGGAGTGGGTTGCCATGTCCTTTCCAGGGGATCTTCCTGATCCAGGGATCAAACACATGTCTCCTGCAGGGCAGGTGGATTCTTTACCTCTGAGCCACCTGGGAAGCAGTAACTAATTAGAAAATGTTAAAAAAAAAAAAAATCCTATCATGTTAGTAATGGGAAGTCTACAGTATGTACCAATACATCTTGCTTGGTAGCAAGGTGGGTATGTGGTTCATCAGGAGGAGGTGACCGCTGGTTGACCCCAAAGCTGGATCCAGCAACCTCAGGGGCCCTGCCCCTCACCCACCCTGGAAGGTTCTCCGCCCCTGCCCCAGGGTCCCACCTCCCCGGGGAGCGGGTGCCCAGGGCGCGGCCTCCAGAGGGGCTGTTGTGTCTGCTGAGCCGGTCGGGACCGACATGGGACCAAACCCGGCTGAGGCGTCTCCATGAACTCAAGAGAGTCTCCTGTTTCTAATCTGAGAAATGTGTAAAACTATCTTCACCCACCTCATAGGTTTGCTTTGAGTGTAAAGAAATAATTCATTGTAAACCCTTGGCATACTTTCTAGCAGCTTCCCAGGGGACGCAGCGGTAAAGACTCTGCCTGCCAGTGCGGGAGACATAGACTATGAGGGTTCAGTCCCCGGGTCAGGAAGATCCCCTGCAGGAGGAAATGGCAACCCGCTCCACTCTTCTTGCTTGGAATCCCACAGACACGGGAGCCTGGTGGGCTGCAGTCTGTGGGGTGGGAAAGAGTCGGACTCAAGGAGCACGCTTGCACCTGCGCGCATACTCAGAGCACAGAGGAACCGGCCAGCAGCAGACACCACTTCGCCCCCGCGCAGGAACGTCTTTTCTCACGTTTTTCCTGTATAAGTTACTCTCATTTCTGAGGTCATTCTCGCGGCCTCCATTCAACTTCCCTTCTTTTAAATCTGTTCTCTTCTGTGTTGGCTCTCAGAGTTTTAATCATTCAAAGTTAATGGAGACTTACTCAGGCCTGGGTTTTTAAAAATCCCTTTTGGAATCTGATTGCTGTTTTGCCTGTGCCAGAAAGATAGAGCAATAAACAAACACACGTCACAGGCTCAGGCACGGGCCGTGGCTGCAGCCTCCCTGTGGCACAATTGGACGGAAGAAAGCAGCTTCCCAAGG